ATTATTATTATTATTATTATTATTATTATTATTATTATTATTATTATTATTATTAAGCCCCCTAATTGTTGCCTCTGCCAAGGAAAAGACAGAGAGTCGCAAGCAACTACTAGCTATGAGTGTCCTTGTTACCAAGAGGCTTTACGAACGGCGGAACGGAGTTGGAAGAACGATAATGAGGGACCTTCAGCTCAACTTCAATCACTGAGAGGCGGGGCAATGTGTAAGGGGTGAGGATAGGACAAGGAAGAGAGGTAAGTGAGATCGCGCGCGGTCCGTGGCCCGTTTGTAACGGTTCTGCTCCGGCATTCTTCTGGTCATGATCGGAGAAACCATGGAAAATTACCGATCAAAGCAGCCGACCGCTAGAATTCTCCTCTAGAGTAAGAGTAAGAGCGAGAGCGAGAGTAAGAGCGAAAGTAAGAGTAAGAGCGAGAGAGCGCGCGAGCGAGAGCGTGAAAGAGAGCGAGAGCGAGAGAGACAGTCAGACAGACAGGCAGTCAGACAGACAGACAGTCAGACAGACAGACAGACAGTCAGACAGACAGTCAGACAGACAGTCAGACAGACAGTCAGACAGGCAGTCAGACAGGCAGTCAGACAGTCAGACAGACAGTCAGTCAGTCAGACAGATAGTCAGTCAGACAGACATATAGACAGACAGACATAGGGGCAAAGAGACAGAAAGAGATAGAGACAGAGACATAAAGACAGAGGCAGAGGTAGACAGACAGACAGAGAGGCAAAGTCAGACAGACACAGAGAGAGAAACAGATATAGAGACACAGCCAAAGAGAGACAGGTAGAGGAACATACAGAAAGATTCTGAGAAAGACACAGAAACATTTTCTTTTTTACAAGGATTAAATATGAGAAAAAACTAGATAACGCTGAGTATTTTCCTAGTACAACAAAATAAAACATGCTTTATATTTTAATTTACATAATCTTAGTAATTATGAGTATGTGTTTGCAAAATCAATTTTGTTTTTGGCATACATTTTGTCTTCTGATTCTTTTTTAAACTAAAATAGCTTCAAGTTTATTAGTTTACTTTCATGATGAACTCTGGAAAAGGGTGATCTTGTAGAATTGTAAATTGGAGCATTGTGGATGGACTTTGCCATATCTAATTCTAGCTATTCAACATTAACTTAAATAAAACTTTATTAGTTTTGTTATTTGAAAGGAAACTTATTAACAATATAACAAAATAAATATTAAAATAATCAAAAATAAATTAAAACACTGTAAATAACTAACTAAAAGCTCATGCAAATGCAACTAGGTACCATGGAAGACATCCAAACAAAAATAACATGCTTTTGAAGACTCAAAGTCATGATGTCTTCATTGCAAAAATTGAGAAATAATATTTAAAACATACCATGCTTGTTGATATGGTGATTAAATATTAATCACTTCCAGATCATTTAACGTTGAATACATTTCATTAAATATGAGAATTTATGGGAAACTATAAAAGTTTCAGTCCTTTGTATCAATCCTAACAAATAAATGTAACTAATTTTAAGCATATTATAATAAATTTATGAGTGCATTTTTAAAAATGTATCATTTCTTTTTTACACAAATAAAAGAGACATGTTCTCAAATTCACGAGTTTGCTAATAAGAGGGCTTTGTTAAATAATTATAATTTGTGGTTATTTTCAATAGTTTCTTACAGTACTCAAACAACATGAGTGTGTATATTTCTGATTCTTATTTTGATATTATTTGATGATTTTTTACATTATATGAATATTTTAAATTATCATCATTGACATTAATAATATCTAGATAGGTCTCTATTAAATGCACAAGGACTTTGACCTTAATAATTGCAATAGGCAATCACACAGAAAATACTATGAAATAAAAAAAATTAGAAACTGAATCTATCATTTAATACATCACAAATTCTTGTTCATCTGAATTGAAAAATATGACAATGGAAAGAATGAGAGTAACAGGACGATACTTATAATGTATCTGCAATTTCTTTTTTGCCATATATTATGTTAATAGGAATGCAACAAAATGTCTTACATATAATCCAACTAATCGAATTTTAAGGAATTGAAATTCAATTACTATTATTATTATTATTATTATTATTATTATTATTATTATTATTATTATTATTGTTGTTGTTGTTGTTGTTGTTGTTGTTGTTGTTGTTGTTGTTGTGGTTGCAGTTATTATTATATCAACCTGCATACATATTAATATTCCCAATAAGAGAAAATAAACCTTCGACTATTTTTTTATTTTGAAGTTTTTCCGAAGTTACAGAATATTTCCTTTACACCACATACGCCAGAGAGTACATATGCAATACGCAATGATTCAAATGTATATAATAGATACTTTAGAACGAAAACAGCTTCAGTGATACGGACATCTGCTGAGATTGTCAGATTTGAGGTGGCCCAAACAAGTATATAAATGGATACCTCCGTACAGAAGCCGACGGGGCAGACCATGGAAACAAGGAATACGGAATACTAACTGCGATGGCAACAAGATATTTGACTGGGAAAGATGTAGTGGATAGAGAAGGCAGGAAAAGAGGAACCGAGAAACATCGCCAGTAAACCACTCGGAGCTATTAATTTGCAGAGAAATTTGGAATATACGCAATATTAAATAATATATACAAATACATAATAAATAATATAAATACGTTCTTTGGATTAGTTTTAAATATGCCGCTCTTTCCGTCATGGAATTACTACAACACATTTGGCCAAAGGAAGAAAACCTGTGTCGTTTGTTAACTTGTTTTCCATTGGCTAGACCGACAAATCTTCCTAAGGCAGACATTTGAAATTATGTCAATATTTTATTTGGTTGTCAAGATTAAATTCTGGAATGATTTCTAAACAGAAAGTATTTCTGCTATAGTCGTTCAGAATTGTGCATTATCAAAATTGCCTGTTGCTTTTCACCTTATTGTGTTATTAATCGTATTCATTTTTGTACGACTCTTCCTGGGCTGTGCAGTGATCTGCAGATATGACGGATTATACTCTATTCACTTGGCTGATCTGTTTTGTTCCGTTTACTTTGTCCACAGGAGCCGATTAAAGATAGGTCATTGCGGGTCGTTGTCCGTAGTAACTTATCGGATCTGTGCGACATTTCTATTTACATATCACATCTGGTAGATGCAGTATATCTGGTGTGTGGTAGTTGAGTGTTTACTTTTGTTAAGCTATTATCATGTGACTGATGTGACCCGTGTTCATAGTATACTACGAACAGTCAGTGTTCGAGTCAAAAACATATAATCCAGGAACATACGCACCCCGGAAGATATGTTCTAAATTTTCATTGAAACAGAAATTGTTGATACATGCAGATGAATGCTTGTGTTAACAGTGACACAATGATTTTGTGATTGTATTTGCTGGCAAGATGCATGTAAGCTTCTGGTTTGATACTGTATATCAAAATTTTCTTTTTAAAGGCTTCAATATCACATCTACTGGAGGTAAGTGATGTTAACTCAAAAATGCAAGATTAATGATTTGAGCTGTAACCTATGATAATATCATTTTATTTTAAATAAAATGACATATTGGGAGGATTATTTAAAGTGATTATGTAGTGTGTCATTACGTTTATGATATAAAGAGGTTATGAATTTAATAAATTTATTATGACCGTAATTGTTTATCTGTAATAAAATGTTTATTTATTTTCATCATCCACATCTTGGATACAAGTACATTAGAATAAGTACCACTGAAATATTCAATAATTCATATTGTATTCACAGGCCTCATAGGAACATGTTTGGGATTGGCATCTCTAGCTTCTATATTGGAAGTTATTAAGGTATATCGAGCTTCCATTCAATTGAAGCATACTCAGAAACATGAAAATGAAAATGAAAATTCAAATGTGAATACATCTGAAAGTCCTGAAGAATCAGTGGCAAGAACGACAAATGTCAGACGCATCAGTATCAATAACAAGTAAGTTATTTATCCAAAAATAAGAAAATGTGTTTAAATTGATAAATGTTTAGTTTATAAATCAAACTGCCTTTGAACATTCATAGATTAATACATAATTCATGTTTTCCATTTTTTAGGTTGAAATATCTTTCAGTTAATACATCTTGGTACACTCTTCAGGACACAATTGGTTATATTGTTATGCTGGCTGTCATGACATTTAATGGATACTTTACAATAGCAGTGATTTTGGGAAGTGCCTTTGGTTATCTGGTTTTTGGACCATGGCTCATGGAAATAAAACTCAAGGCAAGCACAGTATGCAGCAAGCAACAGAAATGTTCTACTTGTATTGGTAAGTTCTTAATGTCACTCTCCATTACATTTCAATTATTATGAAAGCAGGTTATCATTCATTTTCATATATCTTTGAATATATTCAGAGTGCTAGAAGCTGTAGTACGAAGTTTCAAAGCCTAGAGGATTTTTTTAATTTTTAGATTTTAAAAATATGTTGTGTAACATACATATCCAAACTTTTAAACTCTTTCACATTTTGTTGTGCCTGTAATGAAGATGCTAATCCTTTCAAAGAGATGCATATTACCCACATATATTTTCTTGAGCCCATTTCACTAAATGCAGGAATGGGGGGGGATTTGATGACAGGATGAAAGTATCAAATCTGTAGCATGTTTTTTTATGTAAAATAGTTACTATTATACGGGATCAAACATTTCTGCTTACCAGATTTTTCAGCAATGTTGCTATCACTTATTCATAATTCAACTAATGTTGTAAAGGTGTAGAGGTATTTCAGGGCTCAAGAAAATATGTGAGGGTTGCACTACATGTCATATTTAGCAGACACCATTATCATGATTACTTGCACTACAACTCTGAGTGTGTTGGACTCCAGGGTGAGTCTCTTTCCCTCCTCTCTATCCAGTGCTGCACACCACTAGCTTCTTGTGCTCTTATTTACTTCATCCATCCAATGGTCTTCCCCTACTTCTTCCTTCTGATTGCTCCATTAGTAGTCTTCAGGGTATTCTCTTTTCCTCCATCCTCTGAATGTGTCTCATCCAATTAAGTCTTGCAACTTGGATAATCAGTCTTTGATCGTCATGTAATGTATACAATCAATGATTGTATCTACTTCTTCATATTCCTTTGCCCTGAACCGGTCTGTAAATTCTTCTAAAAATCTTTCTTTAAAATATTTAATTTCACTCTATCCACCTGAGATACCTCATCCACCTTAAGTGTTTTATACCAGTATTTTTGTTTTCTTTTATATCAACTGTAATCGTAGGTGTTTGTGAAGGCCAATAGAAGCTCTTATTTGCTCTGTTTATTCTTGCCTGTATTTCTTCCCTGTTATTATTTGAAGTATTTATTTTCATTCGAAGATATGGAAAATGTCTAACTTGTTCAAACAAATACTCCTTTTATAAGTGGTTGGCTTCCATTATTATCTATCTTCTGTGCCACCCTCATTTACTTAATACATTAACCTTTTTTACCTATCTTCCTCACCAGTTCTTCCAGGGCAAATGCTTCAACAATCACTTCTCCAGATTTTGCTATAATATCTACATCATCTTAAAATGCTTATATTTGCACACTTATGCTGAATATGTGGCTTTCTATCTGTATTTTTGACTCTTTAACTGCATTTTCTACTGCTATAATGCTATATTGAACAGCAGAGAGGCTAATGCATTACCTTGTCTCATTCCATTGTGTATCTCTATAGGCTCCAAAAGGGGATTTTGGAGTTTGTTTACTTCTACTCTCCATTGCCATTTTAACCAATCTAATGAGCTAAAGTGGAATTCTCATTTCTTCCTTTGTTGGATACAACTCTTCTCTATTTACACTATCAATAGGCTGCTTGAAAATCCACAAACAGTTGATGTATTGCAAAAACAGTGCCTGGTATTTTCCAAACCGTTCAACAAGATTTTTTTAATTTTGAAAAGAAAATATTTGATAATATTTTATAGGATGTGTTTAACAGAGATATTCTGAGGTAGTTTTCACATTTTAGATGTTGCCCTTCTTGTGTTTGAAACACATAATATTGTTTTTCCATTCCTTGGGAATCTTATTCTTCTTTCCAAATATATTCAGTAATCTCAAAAAGATGTATTTTTAAACCTTCTCATTTTTTATCATTCCCTCATCAATTCCATCTTCGCCAGGTATCTTATTACCTTTTGATTTCTGTATAGCTTCTTGAAATTCATGTCGTATGGAATATTTTTTATTATAATGGCATCTCTCATTTTCTTTTATTAGTTGGTTTATTCTTTTCATTAATTCTATAATCATCTCTAAAATGTAATCTAGTTTCATAGTTATCATAATGTTCCACCCATCTTGCTAGTATTCCACCATATTCCACTTTGATCTGTTATGAGCTGATCCTCTTTATCCTTGCACATTGTTAATCGTGGCTTACCAGTTCTCTGTTCTTGTAAAATTGACTTTGGATTTCTCTATAACACACCCTACAAAATCGAAAATTAATGGAAACTTATTATTATTGGAATGTTTGATGCCTGAAAAGTTCATGGTTCCTCTATTGAGAGTTCCCTTTACGCCCAAAATAATCTTTCTTGAATTTATAATGCATTTTTTTTTATAATTAACTAAGAATAATGGTTTTCTTTAGTACTCTACCAATTTGTTATTTCTTTAAAAGTATTGTAAGTTATATTGGGAATTGAAATTTAAGAATATCTGGTCATATAATGATAAAATTCTCAAAATGAAACAAGAGGCATGCTGATGCTCATGTAGTTGTAATTTGATATTGAATTTTGAGTTCAAGAAATTTGACTCAGAAGGAACTGAAATTTGACACAAACTTAATTTTAGGAAAAGTGTATTACTGTTGACTAACCACTATACTTGCTTTCTTACCTCACTTCAATATTTTTAATTTTTTAAACAATGTTAAGTTTGGATTAATTTTATTATTTTGATTATTTTCTTATTTGGGAGGATTGTATAACAAAAGTGTGTTAAATATTTCATTTCCAAAAGATTTTTATTCAATGCTTTTTTATTTTGGTCTTAAAGATGTATGACAAGTTTGAAAAAAGATGAATCAACGCATGATATTTATTATATTACATGTGATTTTTGCAGTACATTTTTTAATTCACTGACATGCTTGTGATGCATGCAGAATTGCAAATAATCTCGTGTAAATCTCAGGCAGCCTATAAAAGATTTTCAAAGAATCTTGAACAAATTAAAAGCTGTGAATATTGGTCAGAGGTATCCCCCAAAAAATCTTCTCCTACAGCACTTGAATTGTGTTGAGGTTGAGACATTTTTTAGTAAGGAGAAGAGATACTGCTTTAGTCTCATTATCAAAACTGTATCACCTACTGATAAAATTAACTAAAACCAGATAATAAAATGAAGATATCATAAGTAAGAAAATGAGTTCAAAAGCTTACAGACAAAAATAAAAGTGCCCCTTCCCTAATAATTCAATTAAGTGTGTTATGCTGGTATGGAGGTGATATCTTGACCAGCCACAAATTTTTACATCAAATTTTAGTAAAAATTATTTTGCAGAACTTTAAAAATAATGTTTACACTCTAGGGTTCATATATTGTTTAAAAAATAAACAGGACATCTAATGTTTCTTCTGAAAAAATTGTGATATATCAAAATACACATGTCTACTTAATGAATGTTCTCTTTTACTATATATTTATATTATAACACTGGTTCACAGTTGTCTTTAAGATCTGTTCTTTTCTGATGCAATGTTAAGAAAAAATTGCTGTCATACAACCAAAATGTTGCTTTTGAGATGCACACAGCAAGTGCAATCTAGTGAAGTGGGTTTTGAAAAAGGTTTTGATTTTTGCCAGCGAATTACTTGATAGCTTTTTGAAATAGAATATTTGGTAGTAAATAATTTTCTAGGCTTGTCAGCTTTAATTTTGAGTACAATAATTTTTTTCCTACATTGCACAGTTTTCTATACAATTTTACTTATTTGGAGTAGTAAGGATGGAAATATATGAAAATGTCCCAATAACTTTAAGATTTGAGGATTATAGGAGGGCTTTTAGAATGTCTTTTTTTTTTCCCCCAAAAGAGTTGTCAAGCAAAACATAGGACATTTTAGTGTGGACAATTTTTTTTTTGAAACACTGGGACTGAACAAAAAGAATGGGATTATTCCATATTTTACGAGATGTTTACAAACCCTCAAATGTATATTAAAATAATAAAAATTAATTGGCATGAAATGTATAAAAATGTATGGTTGTTCTCGTTTGGAATGGTAGAAAATAATGAAATCACAGAACTGCCATCTGAGAAAGTTACCAATAGAATCAAGAAATAAATAAATGAACCTTTACTCTGTTATTAGTATGAAATATTTCTTCTAGTCGTAGAAGTATTATAAATATTAGGCTCTGAATATTTGAAATACAGGTCTTTGTTTTATTTCCTTTGTGTTCAATTGTACTTTAGTTGAAATGAATTGTAATTGTTTCTCCCTGTTATTTTACAGCTAAAATGGAACGATCGCATTTGCTATCTTCGTCTAGTGGTCACATTTATAATGGCAGCACTAATGACACCAATTCTAGCAGCCTCATGGAAGTGGCGGAAGGACTGGCGTCTGTAATGCAAAGTAGCAGCGAGGAACGTGTTGCTGTGGAAGTGCATTCGCAGGAGCATTGCACATAAATTCTGTACTGTGTGACCACACTCTCAAAACAAAACACCAATCGTACATTAGGTGTTTGAAATTTTAAGGGGTAGCTAAGATTAGAGAGAATTCTGCAGTTGAGGTGTTGAAAAGTTTTCAATTTTGCTTTATCCAGCATCTGCCCTTTTACAAAAAAAAAATGTATAAAGAAAATTAGTAGTACAATATTCTGTACTTCAATACTCTGTGATGATATTGTTTTAGTTTTTTTTCTCACAAGCAGTTACACAAAATTATACAATCATGTTTCTCAAAGACAAATTTCAGAATTTTTTCTGTCATACAATTGTTTTGGTAACATTTTGAACCAATAATTAATGAAAACCAGTGCCAAATGAAGTAAAGAAATTAATTCTGAATATAATAATGCTGGTGCATAAGATATTGCCCTTTATTATGAAATGTTAGAAGGTAAATATGCAAATGTTTTTGTACAAAAGGAAATTTTGTATTGAAGGCAAGAGATTCAAAACAGATTAATTATTATGATATTTTTGTTTTTTCCCGTTTATCTCGGTATTAGTACTTTTCAAGAAGCAATTCTAGAACGCTTTGAAACCATACCCCAAGATAAACTATTTTTTTCTCTGACTGTTTTCTAGTCATCATCCAAATATTTGTTTGTAGAAGATAAATGCATTCCAAAATTTAATTTGGTAAGAGTTAGTTTTTGGTATTCAATAGTGTACTTTTTGTTGATTGATTACCAGGAAAATATGTGAATACGTGTTAACATAGTTAACATGGTTTTATTCCTTCTTTGTAAGAAAGAAGAAACACTTTGAATTTTGTGAGTTGCACATGAATATATGTTTATATTTCAGTTGCAGTATTAATTTTGACTAGCATAAATGTAATGCAGCTAGTAACAATCAATTTGGCAGTTTATTTTTGCTTATTGTTGGAATTGTTTGATTTGTTGCATGTATATCACTTATTTTTTCAATTCACAATAGTCACTTCAATTAAGGGACCTGATTATGAGTTAAAGTGTTTTATATTCCACGAATGTCATAATAATTTTAAAATTATTTGTCAAGAAGGAATTATTCTTTTTTATGTCTTTATGAGAATAAGGAAGATTCTTTTTTCATGGAATATGCAGAGTCATGTTGTACTTCTGATCTCAAAGACTGATAAATGTACTCCACCACTTTGTTCAGACCTGATTAAGATGAACATGTTTTCAGAGTTGAGATTGTGTAAAGCAATAGAAACTGCTGCTGTAAATGTAATGTTTGATAACTTTTATATAAATTAAATTAAAAGAAATGTACTACAGATTTAAAAGTTACTGAATATGAAACAGCTTCTGATAGGCAAGTTGCAGATTATTGTGGGATGTAGAAAATATGCACAAAGGCAAAAAAATTTGGAAATCAATTTTCATAGTGATATATATTGACATTTTTATATTTATATGTGCTGCATGAATTTATAATGCTGAACTAGCAAGTTTGCAAGAACTAAGCATATAAAAAAATGAAGGTTTCAAAAATTTGATTTATAATCTTTTATAAATACATCACATACATTCTTCATAAATCTTAAAGTTAGAATTCTTTATCTTTAAATAGTTTAAAGAAAGTGTAGATGTAATCTCTTTCAATTTTACTTTTTGTCACTTATCAAGTGCCAATGAAATCCAATCTGCTGTTCGCTACAGATATGCTATCAGAGCTGATGGCAGTTTATATAGCTTTTAAATTTATATTTTCAGTAACGGATAGCATAGGATGTCTCTTATGTTGTTGATTAGATTTTTAACTAATTGTTTCAAATAAATTATTTTTTTTCCTTGTGTGTTCAAAATTACAAACGGTATTTTATGCGTCACAGTGTGAACAACTGTAGTATGCAATACAGAGGTTGCTAAGAAACAAAATTTCATATTATTAATAAATATTAGTGTTATTTATGAAGCAGAAGTTATTTAACAATATATACTTCCAATTTCAATTATATGGTAGGTAAAGTCAGATTGCGTTCAGTTTATTTATTTTTTTTCTTTCTTTTTTTCCCCCCCAGAAATCAAAAATATAATTTTTATGACAAAAATCAATTTTCAGTGTGCAAAAAAATTGAAAATGAATGTTTATTTTAATTTAACAAAAACACACATACACATGAACGTTATATATCACCACTCCCCCCCATAAAAAAGGTTCAAGGTATATTTAAACATAAGTGTGCTAAGGAGATAAAAAATGTAATTTTTTAAAAAAATTCCCTGTGTCTGTTTTTGTAAAGCAGGGATGTGCTTGCAATGTAAGAGTTAAAAAAGTTGCGTTTAATTAGATAATTAGATATGATGTAAGTTAAAACCTCTCCTACTTTCTAATTACAGTAACAATGAATTGACTTTGATCAGCCTTAAAATATATTTTTTTGCCCAAGATTTAGAACCTTGTGGGATTAAATGATCATGATAATAACTAAATTAAATGTCAACACACTTCTTAGCTTTTATTCTGTGTTTTTCACTGGAAAAATGTGTTTAAAAGCCTAAGAAAGTTTCATCAGATTGAAACATTCTTGAAACACTAGTGTATATATAAACTTAACTTCTTTCCCATTCCTAATTGATAAGAAAAATTGTACTAGTCAGATATATTTTGAAACAATTTACTTTTATAATCTTTCTTAGTTTTCGAACTTTTATTCTGTATAGAACTTTTGTGAAAATTCGTAGTCTCTAGTAACTGCTGCATTATATGGATGAAATCAAAAAATTAAAATAAATGTTTGATTGATTCTCTCAGGGGAGGATCTGTGGCCCCCTTGCCACTGTCCCCCAAAGCTAATTATTTTGTAATTTTAAATTATTACCACAGTGATTACATTACAACCAAAAGTATGTTCCCATTAAGAATGTACATTTCTTTCCATTTCAAGGTAATTCTTATAAAATCTGAAATTGACCATTTACCTCCAGTTCTGCGACTATCAAGAAATACTTTCTAGCAGTTTTTCTTCTTTTGTTCAGATATTTGATATGTCATCTTATCGATATCTTATTATGGATTTTTATATAAGAGAGAAGTATGTCACAAATGTTGCTTGCAAGTAGGGAGGTCAGGGGGTGCAAGTCCCTCTTATGTTTTCAAGTACATACACAAGTTTCATTTCATTTTTAACTATTAACCTTAACAATTTAGACAAGATTAGACTTGTCTAGTGAGCTTTGGAAAGATGTCAGATCCCGCTGCCAATATGAACTGATCATTGGCATCTCTCAAAAACTGAAAACATTTTTTAGTCGTAAATGATTGAATCTTATTTGCTACACATCAAGATTTGCTAAAACTTCAACACAGATGAGCCAGTGGCAGTCAAAGAACAATATTTGTTCCAGACAGTGTTTCAAAATTATAGTAAATGATACATGTTCAGATAATTCGGTATTGCTTGTCTCCTATACACAAGACTCCTTTTTCTCGTTGAAAAATTTTCTAAGTTTATATTTGTAAGTTTATTATTCAATTCATTAGTAGCTATGACATAAGTTGACCTTTATAAGAAAGTGCATGAACCTTATTGAGTTCAATAATTAATTACATTGTGGCTTAAACTAAAATTCCAGGCAGGTTCTACCACCAACTTTGATGTCCCCTGTCCTCAAATAAAGTTAACCAGGAAAGTCTCTCTTTGCTTTGAGTCAGTGGCTGTCACCACCACTGCTTCCGCCCTCATATTCGCTGCTCTGCAGGTCATTACTGTTGCATGCTTTG